TCGAACTTTAATTTGACGTCTCGGACAATTTTACGGCTGGACAACTTTTTATGTACCAATATAATCATTATAATTTATGGATATGTTTAGGATTTTCGTAGCATATTTACTGCAATGCATGTTGTCCAACGAATTTTGTCATTTTATAAAAAGCATTAGCTTATGTCAGTTATGTGATTGCGATACTCTGTAGAGCACATGCGTTTTTCTTATTTATGATGATATTGAATTGACAATTGAAACCACTAATAAAATATTAGTCATGACTATAGGGCATTTAGTTAGGTACTGTTCGTAAATCCACAGGGAAACACACAATAAACACATAGGGAACATAAGGAAACACACAATGTCACAATATCTGCGTATCAGTAGAATTTCCCTGCACGTGTAATGTGAATTATGACACTGTAACTTTGAGTTAACGATATGTAAATTTTGGTTTCGATGGTTAAAAAAATGTTATCTGTTTTGCTTTTAAGGTGGAAATAATAGGGTAACATGGGGCAGCGAGCCCACTGCGGGTCATGGGCCCATAGCGGGTTTCTCGCTAAGTATGGCAGATATTGGTCCGTGTTCTCTACCGCCGGTCGACAGTTTCACTGGGAGACATCATTCCTACTAATTACTTGTCCTCCATCTCCTCTGACTGTCCTTGAGCAGCCGGTGTTGTCTTGGCAGCTTGGAAGTGATTGACCTGATTGGTGATTGACCTGATAATGTGAATTATGACACTGGAACTTTGAGTTAACGATATGTAAATTTTGATTTCGATGGTTAAAAAAAATGTTATCTGTTTTGCCTTCAATGTGGAAATAATACGTGTCAAATATATAATTGAAATTGTGATGCTTTCAAATATTTTTATCCGTATATAACTATTGGCATTGACGCATTGTGTCATCGTTACTTTGTTTTAGGCTGGGCAGGCCCACTGCACTAGCCGAGGAAATTAATAAAACTACCGGGTTACCGGCGTCAGCGTGGATGTCATTTGATGAAATTGATGTCATTACCAAGTATAGGGATGCCAACGGGGAATAATGGGAGTCTCGGAATATAAGGCACACTGTATTGCAGAAAGTGTTAAAAAAAAGTATTAATACCTAATTTGAAATTTATCATTCTTATTACAATCTACTAGCACTAGCAGTATTTGACCGTCCAAAGTCCAACCTAATGCCAGAAATTAATTAGATTTTACTTAAAAAAGACCAATAGAAAATAGGTAGGTAGTCTAACTTCTTTACTTGATTAAGGGGGAGGTATACTTTTTTTCAGATTTGGCTTTTTTGGTACCGTAAAATGGGGTAACTTAGACCACTTTTTTTTATAAATGATGCCATTTTTTTACTAGCTAAATTAAACTTGAATTTAAACATGCAAAATAAAAATCTTTCTATTGTGTTATGTAGCCTCAGTATTAGGCCTTTAATGCCCATTGACAAAATTTTTCTATGTCAAATAGTTTTTGAGTTGTGGGGGTTTTTGTTAAAAAAACGAAAAGTGGTCTAAGTTACCCCGCCGGTCTAAGTTACCCCATTTTACGGTATTTAGTATCATCTTAAAGCTGAGTATTAGCTGACATTCTGCCCTATCCAATGATACTACTGCAATCCCTGTACGTGAATTTATACGTACATGACGGCTCTTTAAAGGGGGGCGGGTGGATGGAGTTCCTTCACTAATTAGATACAAGGTAATTAGCTGCTGCCTGCTGAGCATTTTAAATATAGTTTCTACTTGAGTTGTGCTGCACAGCTGCAGTTACGTGCTTAGGCTCATCCTAAAGCTGACATTCTGAGCTTTCCAACGATACCCTATGCGATCCCTGTAAGGCTATACGTCAATTTACACTTTCACCACTGCTCTTTAAAGGGGGGTGGGGGGGAGTTCCTTCAGTAAATAGATACAAGGTAATTTGGCTAGCCAACACTAGATATATCATATATGGTTGTTTTTGGCATCAAGGCTCAGTCACCCTCCTCGCTTCGTACGGAGAGGTGTACTGCAAGTCACTGCTAGCATCCTTGAGTGGAAGGAAGCTACAGAAGCCTGTAGTTTGGTATCTATGCTACATTGAGTGACTATTTCAAGGCATGCGGGACTTTGTCACGCTGTCCTGAAAAGTTTAACTTTTTGTCACGGAAAACCTATCTCCTCCTAGAGTTTTGAAGCTACAGCGATGAAACATATACCATTAAATTTGTAAAGACCATACCTATTGAGTAACGAAGCCCTTTTTTTAGATTTGTGCATAGTTTGGATTCAAAATGGGGGGGAAGGGTGGGAGGGAAATGAGAAAAAATTTAAAAACGTGTGAAAAAAAACTAAGGCAAAAATAAAGAATTGGGCTTTGTTACTCAATTGGTATGGTCTTCACACATCAAATGATATGCGTCACTATGTTGTAGCTTGAAAACCCTAGGAGGAGATTGATTTCTACAGGACCCCCTTTTTTTGTCTGTTTTCTATGAATTTCATGTTTTCTATCAATTTTTCCAAAATAATCACATGAACAAAATGTGCTTGTATTTCGGTTTTACATCTATGTGTGAAGTTTCAGAAAGATCTGTCCCTAAACAAAAAAGTTTTTCAAAAAGTATACCTCCCCCTTAAGAAAATGCAACATTCTAACTGGCTATACTCAAATCAGTCAAATAAGATTTTATTTTGTAGGGTTGGTGATTTTTTAAAAAAATTAAATTTTTTTTTATTTTTTCATGATTTATTTTTATTTATTTGACATTTTTTTGTCTATTTGAAAGGTTAGCCTATTTTTTATGTTGCAATTAGCTTAGCCTACTAGGGTAAACGCGGTATATTCCGACATCGTGAGTACCTAATCCCGACACTTCTCAACTTTTTCCTTTATATTAAGCTTTGTCTTAGTTCCATGCACTTGTTGATGGTTGAAATAGAGACGTCATACTATTGCCAAAACACTAGGTCTGGGCCGTCTGGTGGGAATGTTAAGATCCAAAGAGAGACAGTGTGCGTCACCCAGTGAGTCTGAGTGAGAACATCAAAAAACGTGTCAAAGTTGATAGTAGACCTTGCTCTACGCTCTACCTACCAAATAGTGATAAACTGTTTGTGTAGAAAGAATATTATGGTTTGAGACTTTTAAATAAGTCTGTGAATATATTAGGAATCCTTCAAGTATACTTCTATTTGCTGATAAAGTTTTAGTTCAGTTAAGAGACAGTTTTAGACACATAAAAACTAATTCCAACACAGCTTGGAATTAGACGCACACAGTTCGTTCTGAGCTGTGTCTAAAAATTAAAATTTTCTTAATAAAAGCATAATAGCTCTTAATTAAAAGCCTAATTAAGTAGTGTTCTAATTCCGAGCTGTGTCATATTACAACAAGCTAAATATTGACTATTTAACTGGCTTAAGTATACAAAAACACTTCAGGAATGCAGATCTTCTTAACATTGAAGTCACACAACAGATGCTGAGATAGGTAGCTGATAACATCATAGCACACTAAGCACAGCACTATCAATAGATCTACTAGTTTTATGTCCTATTAATCTACCAGACTCTACCCTCTAAACACACTGACTAGTAGTGACTGAGTGACTGAATGCACTGTTCCCATTTATTTCATACCAATAAACAAATACTAAACATAAACTGAACGATAAACAAACAAACCTCAAACGACTTGAAACAAGACTTAAGAGAAAAGCTAACACTGTTTTAAATAATTATGTGCATAATTCAAACATTTTATTTCCATTCACTGCATTTAATTATTTTATATGTAGTTTTATAATTGTAATTGTTTTGTTTCTAGTTTTAAATTCACATATTTAAAGATTGAAATTAAATATTTTAATTAGAATAATCGTATTAGGGTGAAAAATCTTTCTAATTGCCTAAATCTTAGAAAAGGTCAATACAGTCTCAACCTTTCAATGTACTGGGTGGGACAGAACTGATTGAGCAGTTTTGAGGCAAAATAAAAGAGTAGGCTAATGGAGGTACATAAAGAAGAAAGTTTATTTTCCTAGAGGTAAGCATAGCATACCATTTAGAATTCTTATGTTTTGAAAACAATATCAGGAAGATGGGGGCTGTTAGCTGCAACACACTGTTGGAGTCATCCTCAGAGGAGGGAGGAGTACTGCAGCTAAGGGGTTAGATTATTGCAGCAGAGGTTATGGCCATAACTTGCCGTATGTGTGAACGTGCTATAGAAAACTTCCGAGAACGACTCCAACAGTGTGATGCAGCTAACGGACACCATCTTCCTGATATTGTTTTCAAAACATAAGTACCATATTTTAAATGGTATGTTACATCCATTACTCTTATTTCGCCTCAAAACTGCTCAATCGGTTCTGCCCCATCCTGTATAAGCTAGCTAACACATTTAAATTGTATATTGTAATCAATGTATAACAAATAGTCAAATAGTTTAAAACTACTTATAGCCTTATAAGATTTAGCTAAGCTGCTAGCTACTTACAATGTATTGCACACTTGATGCCTCTGTACCAAAAACATTCAATTTATTGGAACCTAATACACACTAAAGGCATCATAGTGACAAACCATAGATTTTTAAAATCAGTTCATTTTTAATTTTCTCATTTACTAAAGATTTAAACCAATTTCTTATGTAGGCTATGATAAAGCTGGTATCCATGATACTTTCTAGGTGACCAGAGGCCATACTTTCAAAATTTGCTAAGTGAACGTAAGTACTTACGCTCTATTTTCTTGTCTATGATTGAGTGAACGTAAGTACTTACGCTCTATTTTCTTGTCTATGATTGGTGGATTTTGCTTGAAAGACCGTCAATGATTGGCTGATGAACTTACGATCTCTTAACTTTTTTTGAAAGTAAAGGCCCTGGTCTACTTGTAGGTTAGGTTAGGTAATAGGAGTCAAAAATGAACTTGAGGGAGAGTCTAAAAAGTGCTCTGCTTTGCCACTAGGCCTACATTAGGCTACATATGCCTCAGAGGGCTGAGGCTTGTGCCACTGTGCCAGTAAAGGAACTTTTTTTTCTGCTTGCAGGTGAAGAAATTCTGTCTGGTAGAATTTTCCACTTATTCATTTTGCTGCCATGGGCAGTATACAAAGAATACTTAGTCTAGTATTAGGCTTTGCACTATTTACTTCATTTTTTATTTCTGTTAATCCTCAACCAAATTATGAAGCAGATGATCATGATTTTGAAGATTTTGATAATGAAGGTAAGTACTTTTTTCTTAATATTTAACATGTTAGCTCCAAAGTGGTACATATGCGTACCACGAAATGTATTTCACCAGGATGTCTTATGTAGTGGTAGGTACATAATTCAGGTTGCCTAAAATCAGCCAAATTGGAGAAAAAAAGGCCAATAACTCAATATATATACTAGTTTATTTGTAGGTTCTGCTATAAAAATTCCAGTTATTTTCTTTTCGCAGTATTTAAAATTTAATTAGGAAGCATCCCTCCCTATCATAAATTTTAGCCGGCCAATGCAATTGAAAAAAACTAAATCACGGAATTTGTCCAGAAAAAAATGTCCATCTGGCAACCCTGTTTAAAAACAGTACGTACAAAAAAATGAAATAATAATAGTACAAGATGAAGCAATCATAGTCAACATGTTAATATGCCCATTATTTTTTGAATAGATATGAGTAAACTTTCATATGAAAGAAAATAAAACTTTGATCATAAATGTTTTTATATATTTTTACTTTATGTGCATGCATAATTTATTTCAGAATTTTATTCTACTCTGTGATTCTGTTATTATTTATTCAAAATTACTGCTCATTATATCCTAATCAAATTTACTGGATTGCAGAAATTATTTTGGTATTTAGAATCAGATTAATTACAGTACCATACTATCACTACACTGAGAGAAATGGGCGGGTCTGGATGACCCACTTTGATGAGTCAACTGCGTCCAAAAATCGATGCACTTTTTTGACTCACTTGCCCCATTTGTGGGTCATACTGACCCATTAAATTCCAGGCATGACTCACTTGTGACGTCAAATCCCTTATGACGCCGCCCGTAGCATGGATACGTAGTTAGCATCTGAGCGTCAGAGTGATTTAACGCCCCAAGTGAGTCATGCTTGAAATTTAATGGGTCAGTATGACCCACAAATGGGGAAAGTGAGTCAAAAAAGTGCATCGATTTCCGGACGCGGTTGACTCATCAAAGTGGGTCATCCAGACCCGCCCATTTCTCTCAGTGTATGGCATGCATATATGCCAGAGTTAACAATAGGGTAGAAGCAGTCAAGCCACCCCTAAATTGGACAAAATGCCCATTAATCTGGCCAATTTCACCCATTCCTGTGGCCTCTTTTTGAATTTTTCCAATTTTCAAGAAGAAAAGTGGTCTATTTTCAATTGCAATTTGCAAAAATCACTTTATATAATAAAATATGCCTACAATTTTAGGAAACTTCGGCCCAATATTCCAAACTGGTGTGTACAACCAGTACAGGTATGGCACACTAAATAAGTTAACCTATACAGGTTTGTGCAAGTGTGGGAATAAAAATACTTGATTTGTTATCATTGTGTATAATTTTCCTGCAGGAGACACAGCTGAAAATAGTCAGAAGGTTAATGCTGAAGAAGATTTTGATGAAGATGGTGTGGTGGTTGATGATGTGATAGAAGGCGAAGAGAACATCTCCCCTGAATTCTTTCCTAAAGAGAAAGAAGATGCTCCCCTTGAGGTGCCTGTTACAATTATTAAAATATTGTAGAATTTTCTATTTTAGTAATTGAATTTAGGATATTGTCTAAGAATTTTGATTTTAAAGAGTAGGAAAGTTTTTATTAGATACCATACTTGTTATTGGTACGTATCCATGGTTTAATTGGGTATAGTTTCTGCATCTAAATTGAAATTTGCAGTCAGTTGATTGCACTTGAATATTTGCTTATTAATGACTACCAGTAATGCAGACAAGATTCATTTGAATTAACAAATAAAAATTTATAATATTGTGCTTGCAAATGTAGGTAATTCAGATGGGGAATGTGGTATATGTATGAATAGATACACTACAATACAATAATAGACAATAGATAGATGAATAGATAGATATCTATTCATACATATACCACATTCCCCATCTGAATTACATTTGCAAGCACAATATTATAAATTCTTATTTGTTAATTCAAATGAATCTATTAGATCAGATTAAAGATCTATCAGATTAGATTAAAAACCCCGAAGCCTGACTTTCTACATATAAATGATATAATCATATTTTGAAACTGAGAAAATTATTAAGAATGGATCAATCTCAAATATGTGAACTGTCATCTCGGAATTTGAACATGATAGGGCACTATGTTTATTTTATTTTAAAAATTAGTTTGTTTTATTAGTTTAATAATGAACTGTCATCTCGGAATTTGAACATGATAGGGCATGTTTATTTTTATTTAAAAAATTAGTTTGTTTTATTAGTTTAATAATTAGTGGCTATTCATAGGGCGATGAAGCAGACGAGTACAGCCACTTGGCTGACACCGAGGAGTTCATTGGCTACAACAGTGACAGCAGCAGCACCAAAGCACAACACAATCTACACAAAGAACCTATTCGTGAACCAAAAATCACAGTGGCAGATGTGAGTTCTGAATTATTTTCTTGTACTGGGGCCGGATTATCAAAGCTTTGTAACTTTTTGTACTTACGAGAAAAAAGTTCTGTGGTACATAAATACAATTTTGGCATTATCAAAACTTTCGTACGCAAGTCTTAGCTAAAAGCCTAAATTTTTTTCCCGCGCAAATGTTTTTATAATACCACCGCTAGTATTACGTTGTCATAGCAACGCCACTCGTAAGTCAATTTTGCGTACTTACGAAGTTTTGGTAACACGACCCCTGAACCAGGATTTTATGTAGTTAACTTTATTTTATTAGGTATTGCAAGTAATTTTTAATGGGCAGTGTATACATCTTATCAGAATTATTCAATCAGTCAGAATTGTTAAAAATATAGGAAGTTTTTCTGGTGTATATCACTAATTACCAATATTCTTCAGTATTTGTCCTTGATTTCTGGCATTCCAAAGCGATTAATGCAAAAAAATTTTTAATTGGGTTAATATATATGATAAAGAGATGAAGATGTTCTGTGGTAATATTGATCATCACTGGTTATTTTTAATGATAATTAATTTTATTAAAATGTTTATTAATTAAATTAATAAACATTTTAATTTCAATTTATTTTAATTGAATGTAATTTTTTTTTTTGCAGGTTCCTTTGCACTTGAGGAGCAACTGGGACAGTTTTTACTTAGAGCTTATTTTGCTCTTTGGACTTCTTATTTATTTTGGCAACTTTAGTATTGGCAGAAGCAAAAATGCCAAGCTAGCAACATCGTGGTTTGAGGCTAACAAGACTCTGCTGACGCAACAGTTTGCCCTTGTTGGTGAGCCCACTTGTTCTTCATTGTACAGTATGTATGTGATTTTTATGTTCAGCATGTATAATGTGATTTTTATGTTCAGCATGTATAATGTGATTTTTATGTTCAGCATGTATAATGTGATTTTTATGTTCAGCATGTATAATGTGATTTTTATGTTCAGCATGTATAATGTGATTTTTATGTTCAGCATGTATAATGTGATTTTTATGTTCAGCATGTATAATGTGATTTTTATGTTCAGCATGTATAATGTGATTTTTATGTTCAGCATGTATAATGTGATTTTTATGTTCAGCATGTATAATGTGATTTTTATGTTCAGCATGTATAATGTGATTTTTATGTTCAGCATGTATAATGTGATTTTTATGTTCAGCATGTATAATGTGATTTTTATGTTCAGCATGTATAATGTGATTTTTATGTTCAGCATGTATAATGTGATTTTTATGTTCAGCATGTATAATGTGATTTTTATGTTCAGCATGTATAATGTGATTTTTATGTTCAGCATGTATAATGTGATTTTTATGTTCAGCATGTATAATGTGATTTTTATGTTCAGCATGTATAATGTGATTTTTATGTTCAGCATGTATAATGTGATTTTTATGTTCAGCATGTATAATGTGATTTTTATGTTCAGCATGTATAATGTGATTTTTATGTTCAGCATGTATAATGTGATTTTTATGTTCAGCATGTATAATGTGATTTTTATGTTCAGCATGTATAATGTGATTTTTATGTTCAGCATGTATAATGTGATTTTTATGTTCAGCATGTATAATGTGATTTTTATGTTCAGCATGTATAATGTGATTTTTATGTTCAGCATGTATAATGTGATTTTTATGTTCAGCATGTATAATGTGATTTTTATGTTCAGCATGTATAATGTGATTTTTATGTTCAGCATGTATAATGTGATTTTTATGTTCAGCATGTATAATGTGATTTTTATGTTCAGCATGTATAATGTGATTTTTATGTTCAGCATGTATAATNCTCTACTGCTCTGGTAGAGTGTGTATTCACTCCATTACTGTCGAGCTGCGTCTACTCAAGGTAACTACTCACTCTACTGCTCTGGTAGAGTGTGTATTCACTCCATGACTGTCGAGCTGCGTCTACTCAAGGTAAGAGTAATGCATCGTCTATCCACAGACTCATGGTGAGCACTGAGCATATAGCTCATTAAATGAACATTCTTCGCAATACATGCTCTCTAATCATATTGAGCAAGTCTTGTTGAAAAAAACGCGTTTAATGCTTAAGTTTTAATTAATGAACAGGGACAATAAACCTCAAAAAATTTCCTTTTCATTAAATTATTGATTGCGTGACATTTCATGTATTTTTCTTCGTTAATTTGTGGTTAAAGCTCACTATTAGCTTTGCCTGGATTTTAAAAATGTCTGTTGACAACAGTTAATGCTAATTTAAAATTAATAAAAACTAGCTGTACTTCAATTTTTTGACCGTTTTGAGTTGTATGCACTTTTTAGGTGGCTGACAATAATTTTGATTTATTAATATATGATTTTGATACTTATTTGACGGACCTGCATAGTATCTTAGGCCGAGGAGTTTGTTTGTTATTAAACTCAGAAGTTGCTTCCAGTTCAGCATTGTCATTTTATTTAATATTGAAATTGAAAGTCATATACGAAGCATTTTTTCATCTGTTCATGTGGTGACCAGTTTTGTGTGTTTTACAGTCAATATTTTTAAGCAGATTTCATTTTGGGTACGTAAAACTTTAAGTAAGCTTAATTCTAAATTTCGTGATAAGATCACATCCAACATTGTTCAAAAAAGTAACACTTTATCTAAAGCTGAAACCCAAATTAGGATAAACATGCATTTCATTCTCATGTGTTATAGGTTACTAATAAAAATGTATGAAATAATAATATAACTCGTCAATTGCAGCGTCAAGACTTGGTGTCGGTGGCAATGCAGATGTTCAGGCCGTCCACAGACGAGGTGGTCGTCAAGATCAGATTGGACGACATGGAGAACTTCGTCATGTGTCTCGCCACCAAGAAGATGGCTTCCAAATATGTCAAAGACATGACTGATATTGTGAGTGTTGTTCAATATTTTAGGAAGAGCTCATATTGTTTGGTGGTTTGCCCTCCTATGTGGCCACCGTAAAAATGGCTTTTTTCTTACAGGTATTCATTCTGATGAATAGTTCTAAAAAATGTCTCAAATTTTTACACATTTCATATTTCTTGTATAATCAGAGCAAACTTGCTATTTATGGTACTTCCTAGCTGGGAGTTTAATTAAAACTTGCAATGACCAGAACAAACATTTTAATGAACTTCAATGCCAAAGCACAGGACTTGCGTCCTGTTCTTCCTCTTACTGATTTAATTTCACCAAGAATTGATAACTTCACAGCAATCCTAACATGTACATCTGATGTAAACTGTATTGATCACAAGTGGCATCTTATTATTGAATTGTTGTGATTTAATCCGAACTTTGCATGATGTCAAGCAATCCAAGCGAATACTAATTGGTTGGATAGCAACAAACTGACCTCTTTTGCATTTGCGGTCTATGTCATTGTACCGAACACGTGTTCAGTAATTGATGACTAAAGTTTGCAGCTCTTAATACTTCTAGTGCCATACGATCCACCTGGGTTGCCAGATGGGGTTTTTTAGGACAAGTTGCACGATTTAGTTCGTTTCAATAGCGCTGACTGGCAAAAGTTTATGATGTTGGTATGTCCCTATTGTATTAGAGGAAACTTGAATTTTTGCACCGCAACCTACCAATACACCAGTGATTATTGAATTGTGGACCTCTTTATCCGCGGACTTGGCCATTTTCAAGGCAACCCAGTGGTAGGTCGTGTCGCACTCAACGTGTCAATAGCAGTTGTTAGGTTTATTGCGCCATTCAAGGTGGCTGGCTTCGTGGTAGGGCTTGCCATCCTGCGCAACTGATGCCTCTACCGTTTCAGCCTCACTCACATGCTTGACAAAAACATGGTCTGCGACATTATCTACCCTGCAATTGATGTTGATTAAACGTTGTTTCAACGTCATTTTCTCGGGGAGAAATCAATGTCTCTGCACAACCTGTTTGCAGCAGAGATCAAGAGCGTTCCCTTGAGGGGACACCTCAGTCTTGCTGGAAATGATTCGATTCTAGTTACCTCAACAGCAAGAATTCGTTACCTCCATCAGTCAATCATTGACTGCTTTTCCAGCTAAACTCTCCAATCACAGACAGGAAATCGGCCGCTAGGTGTAGGTAGTTAGGCCGCTACATGTACTTCGCTACGTGTATATAGACCACTACGTGTAGATCATCGAGTGTCGATAGTACCGCCCCTTAACTACAGTTTCATTTCAGACGACGTTCTGCACGGGTGACCGCAAAGGAACCTTACCGAGCAAGCAGTACGGAGGCTGTGCCAGCTACAGCAAGTTCCTACTTCTCAGCGAGATAGCGGAGGCCAGCAATTCGATTCTTACGGACCCGCGCACCGTGACGGTCTTGGGCAAACATTTAGCTCGTATTAATTACCTGCACATCAGTGACCAGTACAGCGGACCTCAGCAACCTGATGCGTTAGTATCCATAGTATATCAAAAANCCAGCAGTCGCTGACGACAGCTTCAAAGATGCCGCCTGTGCTGAAGGTGGTAATTCTGTCGTTCCAGCTTCTCGCCCCCGCCAAATTCTCTCCTAAAAAGACTGACAAGATCAGCGCCGATGACATGGAGCAGCTGAGATCCCTGCTCCATCTCGTCCTCTACCTTGCTGATAAACTCAGTCGCTTCAAACTCTCCAAAGAGGTTGATTATTGATAACAATGTTTTCTTAAGATATTAGTGGCAAATAAAGAGCAATGTGAATAATAATGCATCGTTGAAAGTTAAATTTTAATATTTTAAGTAGATGTACGACCGTAATAGTTGGTATAATTTTAACGCGCATCGTTCGAAGCTAACTTTTAACATTTTTTAGAGATCTACCACCTTATTAATTCATATAATTAATGATTAATGATAAACATTTAATTAATTCACCTTATTAATTCATAATATTTGACGAGCAGAGCAAGAGCAAAGCTGATAAGAACCGCAGCCGAGTCGAGGAAGCTTTTTTGAAGGCAACGCACGCCGTCCGAGCTGAACGAGC